CCGCCCGGGTTCCTGGCTCTTCCTCCTCCTCCTCTTCCTCCCTTCCACACCCCCCAGGGGAGAGAGGGCCATGCTAGGGGGAGGTGGGACCCTAACATTAGTGCACCCCCTGCTGTTGGGCAATCCTGGCGGGGGTGTGTGTGTGTGCGCGCGCGCACGGGGGGGGGGGGTCCAACGTGGAACTTGGACCGCGGCGACGGCGGCGTCCAGGGGCCATTGTCTGCGGCCGCGCGGATCGATATGGCGCGCCCTTGGGGTCAAATATCACTTCCAAAGTCGCCCAGGCTCCAGCCGCTGCCGCCGCCTCTGCTGCTGCTGCTCCCGCCGCGGCTCGGGATGGCTTCCTCCCCCAGGAGTGGGCGTCCTGCGTGGGGGTGGGGAGCTGGCCTGGCGCGTCCGCAGCAACCGCCCCCCTCCCCATAGGCTCAGGGTGGGCCTCAGGTCAGCGGAAATGGCCACCGGAATCGGCCGCACCCCCCCTCCCGCGCCCCGCACACACACCCAGGGGTGGGTACCCGGCTCCTGGGGATAAAATCACCAGCTTGTAAACTTGGCCGGCTGGGAGTGCAGAGTGCCCCCCCCGGCCCCCAGGCCCCTGTGCCAGGGCGTGGCCGTGGTGGCTGTCTCTGTTGGTATCTGCTGGGGACGTGGGACACAAAGGCTGCTGGCCGCCCTTTTGGCACGAAGTCCTGGAGGACCACGTGGGGGGGTCCCCGTGCACCCCCCTCCACGGTCCATGCCCCGCATGGGCTGTCCCATTTTGCAGATAAGCAACACCGAGGGCTGGAGATGACCCCTGTGTCCTCCTTGTGCCCATGGGTGGCTGTGCTGATGGGCTAGGGATGTGCGTCGGGGGGAGGGGAGCGGGACGAGCTGGGGTGTCTGTGGAGCCAAGACCCCCAGACAGGGAAGGAAGGAGGGGCCCCAAGTGGCTGAGTGTGCCCGCCTGCCGTGCGCTGCCTCGCCACCTCCCTGCTCCCGCACTAACTGGGCCATCCGACTTGACCTCGTTCTTGCCACTGGAATAACTTTCCAACTTTCAGGGCCCGGGTCTTTGGGGAATGGCGCCGGGGAAGCACTGGCAGGCCGTGCTGTGTGCGGCCTGGCCAGGCCGTGTCCCTCTCTGGGCCTCTCCGATTTTGCTGGCCGGTTGGATGCCAGGAGGCCCTCACCCCCACCCTGCCCAGCCCCCAGGCTCAGCGTTTGATAACCAGGGTTTAAGCTCATAGGAGGCCAGGAGGGCTGCCTGGGGGAGGTGGCTCTTTAAGTGGGAAGGGTATGCGGGGTGAGCTGGGATCACCCAGGCAAGGCAGGAAGTAGGCTTGGGAGAGTCCGGGCTGGGGGCAGAAGGCAGCCGTGGAGGGTGAGGGAGAGAGGCCTGGGCAGGGCTCCAACCGCCCTGGAAGTGGAGGCCAAAGGTTCAGGGCCTCCTGGGAGGTCAGGCGCCCTGCCCCCAGGCCGTGCCGCCCTGGCTGGCCCCGGGCCTGGCCGGTTCCACCCGACTGCTCGGTTGGTCCTCCCACTGCTGCCCCGCTGCCGGCGCTTTGTTCTGCAGCCGCCCGGGCCGGGCACCGCCCCCACACCCTCGGCAGGTGTCTGGGGGGCGGGTAGGGGGCTCCCTTAGTCTCCCCTCTCCCGTGCACAGCCCCCAAGGGCTGCCTGGAGGAAGTGTCCTGGGCCGTGACAGGGGTTGTCCTGCACAGAGGGGCTTAGCTGTGGGCCCTTCCCGAGGGTCAGGAATGCCTTTGTCCTCTTATTCGCTGGGTATTAACGCAGTCCACCTCGGCGTGCGCCACGCGGGGACTCCCCGAGCAGCTGAGGCCCTGCCCCACCTCCTGGGTCTTTGCAAACCTTTGTTTAGGGCTACCTTCTTCTGCTCAGGAGCCCCACTTCTGCTCACCAGCTGAACTCCTATGCATCCTACAGAACCCACTTCCCAGCACCCTCTCCCGCCGCCCTGGAGGCCAGCTGTCTAGCTTGGGGCTCCCTTCTGGAGGAGTGGGGGGCCCTGACTTCTGTGTCCCCCCCACACACCAGGTCCAACCGTGACTGCCAGATCGACCAGCACCATCGCAACCAGTGCCAGTACTGCCGCCTCAAGAAGTGCTTCCGAGTTGGCATGCGCAAGGAGGGTGAGCACTCAGGGCCGCGGGCGTGCGTGGGGTGGGGGCAGGCGCCGGCCACAGTCACGGCCAGGCGCGGGGCGGGCTCTGGCGCCGGCTAACCTCGTTACTGCCCCCCTCCTCCGGCCAGCAGCCCCCGGGGCAGCAGGCAGCCGCTGGGGGAATCCAATTATGGCCAGGGGAACGGGGCAGCGGGTGGCCCAGCTGCTGTGCTGGGGGGGGGTCAGGGTCCACCTGCCCCCCTCTCCCGCCCCCTGCAGAATGAGGAGGCGCTGCTGGTTTTTTATTTGAGCGCTCTCTCTCTGTCTAGCCCTGCCTTCTGTTTGCCTAAGGCAGGGACTGGCTGAGGGAGTCACAGGGCACTGCCCTCGCGCTAACCCCGGACGCCCGAGGGAGGGCATGGCCCAGGGCAGCCTGGCATCCCAGTCTGCCTTGAGTCTCTCTTACTTTCAGCCTGTACTGTTTTTGAGAAATGTTGTGTATCTGGAAGGCAAAGTTAAGAGATCTTCCGTCTGCTAATTCACTCCCCAAGTGGCCACAACAGCCAGAGCTGAGCCAGTCTGAAGCCAGAAGCCAGGAGCTTCTTCCTGGTCTCCCACGCGGGTGCAGGGTCCCAAGGCTGTGGGCCGTCCTCCACTGCTTTCCCAGGCCACAGGCAGGGAGCTGGATGGGAAGTGGGGCAGCCGGGACATGAACCTGTGCCCGAATGGGATGAGGCTGTCATCGGTAGCGGTGGTTTAGCCTGCCACGCCCCAGAACAGAGTGTCCTCACCAGGCCTCTGGGAGAAGCTGGGAAAGTTTGTTCTGAGTTGCTTGGAAGTTGCTGCCTTTGGCTGCTTGAAATTCGGGGTGACTCGCATGTCCTCCCACCCCACTTGTGCTTGGATGCCAAGAGCCGGGGTCCCGCTGCATCCTGCCGGCGGAGTCCCACCTTAGTACAGGCTGACTCTCCCCTGTGGGGTTCCGATGTCCCTCCTCCTCCAGGAAGCCCTCCTGGTGGGTGATGCAGGGCGCTGGCACACACCAGGCGTTCCGGAAGGGGCTGTTGGCCAGCTGTTCCCCGGGCAGCTTGTCATTTCACAGGTGGAGCAGCTGAGCATCCAGGGCTGAGTGGGGAGGCTTGTGAGGGGCCTGGGCTGAGTGGGGAAGGAGAGGAGGAGGAGGAAGGGCTGGGGACCGAGCATGTGCAAAGGCCCTGGGGTGGGAGGTGGCGCCGTGGGGCTGCTCTGCCTGCCCTGCTGGCGCCCGCCTCAAGGGAGGGGAGGGTGCTGGCTTGACCCTGCCTTCACCCCGGCCATGATAAGGCTGGGCATGCCAACTCATTAAGGCTCATTAATTAGCCTCTGCTTGGCAGGCTGCCCCTTCCTTCCCGCCTCCCCCTGCCTGGCACACACCCGCTGGGCAGGCAGCCAAATGTGCCTCGGTTTCCCTCTTGTCTGCTTGCCTTGGGTGCGGGTGGGAGTCCCACAGCCCTGGAAAAGTGCCCAGGCCATGCCCTGGGCCAGGAAGTGGGCCTCAGGGGTTAGGGTCAGGGTTCAGGGGCACACAGAGGGCGGGTTCAGGGGCACACATGGGGTTAGGGTTCAGGGGCACACAGGAGGCAGGGTTCAGGGGCACACGGGGGCAGGTTCAGGGGCACACAGGAGGTGGGGTTCTGCGGTTAGGGTTGGGGTTCAGGGGTTAGTGCTAGGGTTCAGCAGCGCGCAGGGCATGGGATTCAGGGATCAGAGTTGAGGTTCAGAGGTGCGTAGGGGGAAGGTAGGTCAGGGGTTAGGGTTGGGGTTCAGGGATGTACAAGGTGCTGGTTTCAGGGGTTAGGGGTGTTCATGGGTGCGCACGGGGTTCAGGGGTTAGGGGTGTTCATGGGCGCGCACGGGGCGGGGTTCAGGGGTTAGTGCTAGGGGTCAGGAGCGCACAGGATTCAGGGATCAGAGCTAAGGCTCATAAGTGCGCACGGGGCGGGGTTCAGGGGTTAGGGGTGTTCATGGGTGCGCACGGGGTTCAGGGGTTAGGGTTAGGGTTGGGGTGTTCATGGGCGCGCACGGGGTTCAGGGGTTAGGGGTGTTCATGGGTGCACACGGGGTTCAGGGGTCAGGGTTAGGGGTGTTCATGGTGCGCACGGGGTTCAGGGGTTAGGGGTGTTCATGCGTGTGCACGGGGCGGGGTTCAGAGGTTAGGGGTGTTCATGGGTGCGCACGGGGTTCAGGGGTTAGGGTTAGGGGTGTTCATGGGTGCACACGGGGCGGGGTTCAGGGGTTAGGGGTGTTCATGGGTGCACACGGGGTTCAGGGGTTAGGGGTGTTCATGGGTGCACACGTGGCGGGGTTCAGGGGTTAGGGGTGTTCATGGGTGCGCACGGGGTTCAGGGGTTAGGGGTGTTCATGGGTGCGCACGGGGTTCAGGGGTTAGGGGTGTTCATGGGTGCACACGGGGTTCAAGGGTTAGTGTTAGGGCTCAGGAGCGCACAGGGTTCTGGGTACAGGGGTTAGTGTTAGGGCTCAGGAGCGCACAGGGTCTGGGTACAGGGGTGCGCTCTGACGGCCGTCTCCCCCCTCTCTCCATCCCCGCAGCCGTGCAGCGTGGCCGCATCCCGCACTCGCTGCCCGGCGCGGTGGCCGCCTCCTCCGGCAGCCCCCCGGGCTCGGCGCTGGCCGTGGCAGCAGCGGCGGCCGCAGCGGCAGCAGCGGGAGGCGGCGGCGGCGGCGGGGACCTGTTCCCGGGGCAGCCGGTGTCGGAGCTGATCGCGCAGCTGCTGCGGGCCGAGCCTTACCCGGCGGCGGCGGGGCGCTTCGGCGGCGCGGGCGCGTGCGGGGCCGGCGGAGCGGGAGGCGGCGGCGGAGCGGGAGCGGCGGGCGCCGTGCTGGGCATCGACAACGTGTGCGAGCTGGCTGCGCGGCTGCTCTTCAGCACGGTGGAGTGGGCGCGCCACGCGCCCTTCTTCCCGGAGCTGCCGGTGGCCGATCAGGTGGCGCTGCTGCGCCTCAGCTGGAGCGAGCTGTTCGTGCTGAACGCGGCGCAGGCCGCGCTGCCCCTGCACACGGCGCCGCTGCTGGCCGCCGCCGGCCTGCACGCCGCGCCCATGGCCGCCGAGCGCGCCGTGGCCTTCATGGACCAGGTGCGCGCCTTCCAGGAGCAGGTGGACAAGCTGGGCCGCCTGCAGGTGGACTCGGCCGAGTACGGCTGCCTCAAGGCCATCGCGCTGTTCACACCGGGTGAGCGGGCGTGCCCTGGGGCGGGTGGGGTCCCCGAGTCCTCCTTCCCGGGGTTGGGGACCCAGAGCGCGCCCGAGTCCTTCCCAGGGGGGTGGGGACCCAGAGCGCGCCCCGAGTCCTCCTTCCCAGGGGGGTGGGGACCCAGAGCGCGCCCCGAGTCCTTCCCAGGGGGGTGGGGACCCAGAGCGCGCCCCGAGTCCTTTCCCGCCCCCCGACTCGCAGGCAGCGAGGGACGGGAGTTGATGTAAACCAGGCGATTCTTCCTTTCCCCACGTGCCACCCCCCAAGGACCCCGAGCCGCGCGGCTCCCCCGGCCCTGATGGCCGCCCAGGCGCCCTAATTCCCTGGGTTAGGTGCGGGGCGGGGGGGAGGAGGTCCCAGGCACCCCACTTCGGGGCTTTCCGACCAGACCCCACCTCCCAGGGTGGGCAGTGGGGTGTGGGCGTGGCCCGGCTCCGTCCTGCAGAGGCCGGTCCCCCTGCTGGCTCGCCAGCTGCCCAGCCTTGCCGTACTGCTGCGAGTAGCAGCGCCGAAGGCGCGGGCTCAGCACAGGGGCTCCCCCTCAGCCCCGCTCCTGTGATCCGCCTGCGGGGGTGGGAAAGGCCCTGCGCCCACGGGAGGCCAGGGGGGCCAGGGACCCGCCCCAGGCCGGGCACTCGGCGAGGTGGCTCGGACACATAGGGCTGTGCCCGCCTCCCGCACCCCCAGCTCTGACCCGGGTGCTCCTCCGTCCCGCCCCCCAGATGCCTGCGGCCTCTCGGACCCCGCGCACGTGGAGAGCCTGCAGGAGAAGGCGCAGGTGGCGCTGACCGAGTACGTGCGCGCCCAGTACCCGTCGCAGCCCCAGCGCTTCGGGCGCCTGCTGCTGCGCCTGCCCGCCCTGCGCGCCGTGCCCGCCTCCCTCATCTCACAGCTCTTCTTCATGCGCCTGGTGGGCAAGACGCCCATCGAGACGCTGATCCGCGACATGCTGCTGTCGGGGAGCACCTTCAACTGGCCCTACGGCTCCGGCTAGCGCCCCCAGACCCGCCTCACGGGGTGCGCCCCCAGGCCCGCCTCACGGGGTGCGCCCCCAGACCCGCCTCACGGGGTGCGCCCCCAGACCCGCCTCACGGGGTGCGCCCCCAGACCCGCCTCACGGGGTGCGCCCCCAGACCCCCCTCTTGGGGTGCACGGGGTTGAGGGACAGGAAGGCTGCGGGGTGCGCCCCCCGACGGGGCGGCCACAGGGACCAGCCCCTCCCCCGCCTCCTCAGTTTTGTTTTTAAGAGAGACTGTGAAATGTTTTGTCTTTTCTGTTTTTTAAAAATGATCATGAAACCAAAAATGGACTCACTGCTCCAGCCACGAGTTGGTCGGGGACACCGCACGGGCTCTTGTTTGGGGGCGGCTCCTCCCCGCCCCCGAGCGCAGTGTGATGGACGAAGGCCTGGCGTCCGGACCCGCGGGGGGCTGCGTGGGGGCCAGGCAGTGCGTGATCCACGCTGGACACCACACGATGGCAAATCCAAGCCAAGAATAAAGATATTTCCTACCTGTGCAGGCCGCATTATTTGGAGGGTAGCGGTGGGTGAAAAGGGGGGACCCCTTGCTTATGGGGCACCCTTTACTCCCAGCTCTTGGCGGAATATTCTGGGTCTCAGCTTACTCCCCCAAGTGTGCGTGGACAGGCCGGACACCTCACAGGAAGTGAGTCCACAGGAAGTGAGTCCTCCCCCTGCGTGAACTCTGGCTTGGCCTCGAGCCGGATCGAGCCACGCCTGAAACCCTCGGGCGTTTACATTCCGAGATCCCAGACTTCTGCCGCGTGTCCTTGTGAAATGGGGGGAGAAAAAGCCACCCCCGAAAGCCCCCGAGTCCGTGGAGTTGGCGCTGGGGGTTACATGTCAGCAGATACAAGCTGTCCAGCAAAGATGCCCCATGGGGTGGGCATCTGGCTTCGTGGGGGGATATGTGGACGCAGGCTGCAACCCCTGGATCCCTGCCACTCTGGGCTGGCAGTGCTGCAGCAGTGGCCGAGTGGCCTGAGCTGGGCGCAGGCCGGGTGGGGTCTTACTGGAGCAGCCTCAGCTGTCCCTCCAGGGTGACTGAGCAGCCGGACTCCTAATCGCCCTACAGAGCCCCACCCAGAGTGCCCCTCTTGGTGAAGGTGGTGTTGTAAAGACTTGGGGATGGAGAACGCCCCTTCTGGCTGACCCCAACACTGCACCTGGTGCGTTCTGCGGCCAGGGCTGCCCCCAATCCTTCCGCAGTGGGATTCCGGCGTTCTCATGGGGTCCCTGACTTTCCTGACTCCCCGATGCCGAGCCCACGCCCTTTGTCGGAGACGCCGGGTGCCGCCCACCTCTGGGGACAATGCCGAGCCCCTGAGTGCCCTGTGTCGGGGAGGGCCAGCAGCTGTATACAGCAGGTGCCTCATACGCGTTTATTGCACTGGGGCACAGTGAGGCGGGAGGGTCCCGGGGGCTTCCTGGAGGAGGGGGCCGCCAGCCGAAGCCCAGCTCGCTCAGAAGTACACGGAGCCCTCGCTGTCCTGCTGCTCCTGGAACTTGCGGATCTGCCCCTTGAGGTGCCTCAGTTTCCCCTTGAGGTAGCGGCAGCGGGCCTGCTTGTCCAGGAGGCCGGGGTCCTGCGTGGGGTGAGAGCCGGCGGGCGCCGGTGGCGGTCTGGCCCTCCCTCCCCGTCCCGCACACGGGGTGCAGGCGCCCCGGCCTTGCCGCCCGCCCCCAGCTCACCGTCCGCTTCCTGTCCAGCTCCGTCCACACGCGGGCCGCGGCCTGGGCCTCCCTCTGCCGAGGAGGAGGAGGAGGAGGCTGAGGCGGGAGTGTGGGGAGGCCGAGGCAGCCAGCCGGGGTGGGGGTCCCCGGCACTGACCTGGCTGCGGGGAGGGGGCAGGGCCGCCAGCAGGGCCTCCAGCCGCCTCAGCCTGGCCTGCACGCAGCCCAGCTCCTGCTGCAGCTGCAGGAACTCCCCGTACTGGTCCTGGAACACGGCGGCGTAGCGGGTCCGCTCCCTCTCGCTGCTGATGGCGGGGTACTTGCTACGGAGGATGAGGGGGGCTGGGGAGTGAAAGGGCTGACTCCCCCATGCCCCCCAAATGCACCTGCTGCAGTACCCTCTCCGTATGGCCTTTTTAAAAAAAGAAAGCCAACTGGCAAGCTCTTATACATCCGTGGAAGCCCCAGCGTGATTGCCCCTCACTCACAGCTCGTAGTCAGGCACCGGGTCGGGCCTGGGGGTGCGCCTGGCTGGGGGGGCTCCTACGGGACTTGGGGCGCCCCGTGGGGCCCGGGCAGGCAGCTCATCCTGGAACACGATCTTCCTGGGCTTCACGGCGTGGGCTCCGAGGGCGTGGGGGGCGTGGGGGGCGCAGGCCTGCAGGGCGCGAGGAGCCGGGGCGCTGCAGGAGCTCAGGGTGTGTGGGGACCCAGGAGGTCCCAGGCCCCCGCGTCCCACTCACGGGGTCCCACTCACGGGGTCCCACTCACGGGGGACCCACTCACGGGGGTCCCACTCACGGGGTCCCACTCACCGGGGGTCCCACTCACAGGGTCCCACTCACGGGGGTCCCACTCACGGGGTCCCACTCACGGGGGTCCCACTCACGGGGTCCCACTCACGGGGTCCCACTCACGGGGGTCCCACTCACTGGGGTCCCACTCACGGGGTCCCACTCACGGGGGTCCCACTCACGGGGTCCCACTCACGGGGTCCCACTCACGGGGGACCCACTCACGGGGTCCCACTCACGGGGGTCCCACTCACGGGGTCCCACTCACGGGGTCCCACTCACCGGGGGTCCCGGGCCGGGCGGGTCGGGGTGCGGGGTGCCCCGGCAGCCCCGGGCCTTCGAGGGGCGCTCCCGGACGGGCATGGGCCTGTGTGGGGGTCCCGGGGCCGGGGGGCGGGCCCTGCGAGGTGGGGCGGGGCCACCCCGGGGCCGGGGGGCGACCTGGGGACACGCAGCAAGCCACGCCCCGTCAGGCCCGCCCCCAGCACGCAAGCCCCGCCCCCGTTCGCAACAGGCCACGCCCTGAAAGCAAGCCCCGCCCCATTCACGACAGGCCACGCCCAGCAATCCCCGCCCACCACGCTGAGCACAGCAAGCCTCGCGCTCCGCCCCCAGCTCATCTCTGCCCAACCAGGCCACGCCTCATCCAGCAAAGCCACGCCCACACCTCCCTGTGAGAAGCCACGCCCCGACCCCGCCCAATCGCCCTAAGCCATGGCCCCGGCTCCGCCCCACCCAGTCAAGCCACGCCCAAGCTCTAGTTGCACGCCCATTGGCCCTCGGCGGCCCCACCCCCCAGCAGCGGCACCGGGAAGAGCGGAGGGTCCCCGAGCCGTGACGTCAGGGCGCCTCTCCCCGCGCGGCGGTGTCACCTGGCCCAGCGTCCGGCTGTCGGCGGAGGCCTGCGGGATCCGGGCCGAGCGAGCGCTGCGGCGGATGCGGCCCGCGGGGTCAGGCCGCCGGGCGGAGGGCACGGGGCGGGGCCCGGCTCGGGGCGGAAGCGGCCCTCGCCGCCCCGGCCTTGCGCCGGGCGTGGCCTGGCGGCCGGAAGCAGCCCTGGGTGGGCGTGTCCGGGCGGGGCGGGGCCCGGCGGGGGGCGGAAGTGCCCTCCCCTTAGCCGTGCTTGGTGCATGGACCCGAGTCTGTGTTTATTCATCCTTTATATTTTAAGAATGTTGATGCCATTCCAGGCCCGGTGCCCTTCTCCTCGGTCGCCGCCCTTCCCGCCTCACTTCCCGGGGGCGGGTGGGGGCAGTGGGAGCCGGCGGGTCCAGGGGGTCCAGGGGGTCCAGCAGGGGCAGGCGGGTCCAGGGGGTCCAGGGGGTCCAGCAGGTCCAGGGGGTCCAGGGGGTCCAGCAGGGGCAGGCGGGTCCCGGGGGGTCCAGGGGGTCCAGCAGGAGCAGGTGGAGCAGGCGGGTCCAGGGGGTCCAGCAGGTCCAGGGGTTCCGGGGGTCCAGCAGGGGCAGGCGGGTCCGGGGGGTCCAGGGTGTCCAGCAGGGGCAGGCAGGTCCAGGGGGTCCAGGGGGTCCGGGGGTCCAGCAGGGGCAGGCAGGTCCAGGGGGTCCAGGGGGTCCGGGGCGTCCAGCGGCGGTCAGAGAAGGCCCCAGCCGTCCTCACTTGAGCTTGGGCATGATGCGGATGAAGAGGATCATGCTGATGAAGATGAAGCAGACCACGATGAGCATGGCCCAGAGCAGCCAGTTGACTGACTTCTGCGCGTGCTGCTCCAGCCGCTCCGACTCCGTCTTGAGCTTCTCCAGGCTCTGGTCGGCCATCTTCAGCGAGTGCGACAGGGTCTGTGGGGGCATGGGGTGCTCAGGCCCCTGGACCCCGCTCCCCGGCCTGCAGCCCCCCTGGACCCCGCTCCCCGGCCTGCAGCCCCCCTGGACCCCGCTCCCCGGCCTGCAGCCCCCCTGGACCCCGCTCCCCGGCCTGCAGCCCCCCTGGACCCCGCTCCCCGGCCTGCAGCCCCCCTGGACCCCGCTCCCGGGCCTGCAGCCCCCCTGGACCCCGCTCCCGGGCCTGCAGGCCCCCTGGACCCCGCTCCCCGGCCTGCAGTCCCCTGGACCCCGCTCCCCGGCCCTTACCTGGTTGTCCTTCTTGATGACGCTCTGGGCGGCCAGCGTGTTGCTCTTGAGGCTCCGGGCCAGGCCCAGCATCTCCTCGGCTAGCTTCTCCTGTAGGGCCTGCTGCCGCTGCAAGACCAGGTCTAGCTCGGCCGCCGACTGCTTCTCATCAGCCGCCCTGGGTCCCGCAGCGCCGCTGCCCAGCCGGAGAGAACAGAGCGACACGTCCCCACGGGGTCCCCACTGCAGCCGGGGTGGGGGTGCCCCCAAGGAGTGGGGTACGGGAAGACTCCTCCCCTCCACCCTGCCCCAGGCCTGAACCCACTCACCTCCGCCTTCGCACGTCCACTTCTGGTTCTAGAAGTGAAACGGCCCAGACAGGAAAGAGCAGAGGATGAGGTGTGCTCTGGTGCCTGGCCCGCAGGCTCCTGACAATGCCTCAAAGCCCTAGTGCCATGCCCGCTCTCTAAGGATCCTCCAACAGCTTCGGCCCCACTCTGCCCCCCCCAGGGGTAACCTGGAAAACTGACACCCCCTCCGGACCTGCAGGGGATGCCAAGCGGGAGGGGCTGAGAGGGATGGGGCAGGGGGAATGGACACTGGATCCTGTTTTGGCCGAGGGCGACTCACCAGCTGGGTCCTGGGGGGGAGAAGGGCAGAGGTGTGAGGCTGGTACCCGGGCCTGCATGCCCCACGTCTCCCACCCAGTGACAGGGCACCATGCTGCCCACAGGCCCAATGGCCACCTGTCTGCGCCAACGGAGGAGTGGGAAGGCAGGGTCCTGGCAGCAGCCTGGCAGCGTGGCACAGTGGGTAAGGCCACTGCCTGCAGAACTGGCAGCCCACAGAGCTGCTGGCTCAAGTCCCAGCTGCTCCACTTCCCATCCTGCTTATGAGCCTGAGAAAGCATCAGAGGACAGCCCAGGGACCAGGGCACTCCGTCTGAGTCGGCCACGTGGCTGGCACGGACCTCACCCTCCCCCTGCCACTCAGGGTCCAGGTCAGAATTGGACAAGGTCGGACTTGAACCAGGCTCTTGGAGAAGACGGCAACCTCGTGTCCCACGGGACTGACCACCAGCACCAATGCACATGGCCCGGCCACCAAGCGTCCCTGTCTGCTGGCCTCCCACCCGCCTTCCGCGAGGTCCCCGGGCCGCACCGTGCCCAGCAGCTCGCTGCGCATCTCGTCAGTGTAGCGTGCCCGTGACTGCAGGTGCACCGTCCTGGTGGCCGGCACGCGCTCCCGGGCTGTTGTGGGCACGCGGCCCGGGGTCAGGAACTGGTTGGCCAACGCCTTCTCGGACGGCGAGGTCTGCGGGGAGCGGGGCATTGCAGGGGTCACGGCGGGGGGCCGGGGAGGCTGGGGTGGCGTGGGGGCTCCCCCTGCTCCCTGCTGCCCTCCACCTGCGTGGGGCTCACCAGCTTCTCGGCCTGCAGCAGGCCTCTCAGGAAGTCCACCTTGCGTGAGTACTCGCCGAGCACCTCGGACGCGGGCTTGCTGGACGGCCAGGGCAGTTCAGCGGTGAGAAGGCGGGGGACCCGAATCCGGGGGACCCCCAACTCAGAGGCGGGCTTGCGGGGGGACCCCACGGCAGAGGCGGGCTTGCGGGGGGACCCCACGGCAGAGGCGGGCTTGCGGGGCTTGCAGGAGGACCCCACGGCAGAGGCGGGCTTGCGGGGACCCCACGGCAGAGGCGGGCTTGCGGGGCTTGCGGGGGGACCCCACGGCAGAGGCGGGCTTGCGGGGGGGACCCCACGGCAGAGGCGGGCTTGCGGGAGGACCCCACGGCAGAGGCGGGCTTGCGGGAGGACCCCACGGCAGAGGCGGGCTTGCGGGGCTTGCGGGGCTCGCGGGGGGACCCCAGCTCCGGAGGCAGGGCGCTGGGCGGCAGGGACAGAGTTGGGGGCCCGAGTCCGTGGGACCCCCACCCACCTACCTGGCCTGAGCCTTGAGGGCCTGCAGCATGTCCTCCAGGGCGCCCACGTACTGCGGGAGGGGCGGGGTCAGGAAAGGGGCGGGGCCAGGAGAGGGGTGGGGCTGAAGGCGGCGTTACAGGGGATGGGCCGCGGGGCGGAGCTACGATGGGCGTGGCTCGGGAGAGGGGCGGAGCTACTCTTGGGACGGGGCGGCACCGCAGGAAGGGCGTGGCCAGCGCGGCAGCCCCGCGGTCCGGCCGCCCCGCAGCCCCCGGCGGGAGTCGGGCGTCCCGACACACACACCTTCTCCAGGCGCCACTCGTCGGGGTCCCGCCGCTCGGCTGCCATCGCCTCGCAGCGGCACAGCAGGCGCACCAGGTTGAGCTCGAGCCGCGACGCTGCCATCGGACAACGGCTTACCCCTTCCGCAGGTGCCATCTTGGAGCAGGGCGGAAGTGCCTCCTCTTGGCTTCCTTCCGGGCGATTGTGCCCGGATCCCTAGACCCTTTATGGGGAGCGGAAGTACTCTCGTTTCCGTTTTAACCAGTGGTCTCTGTGTGACACACCAGTGTGCGGGAGAATTCCGTCGGAAGCGGGAACTGCGGCTTGAAGGCCTCCTAGGACGGGAAAGGGCGAGGAGGCCGATAGGGCCATCTTTACTCAGGGCGGCCGCGCTGGCTTTACCCAGGCAGATGTCCTCCGGCACCGTGCCCCCGGCGCACCGGGTTCCGCCAGGCTGGTCCTGCCTGGCACCTCGGGGATCCGGGTTCCCGCGCCCTGGCGCGGCCTTGACCCCGTAGCCCGTCTGGCCGAGGGGCTGGTCAGAGTGATGGGGCCTGCTACGGAGTCTGGGGTGGAGACCAGGCCCAGCCTGCCCTGCAGGGACCCATCCCTGGTCACAGCCCGCCCTGCAGGGACCCATCCCTGGTCACAGCCTGCCCTGCAGGGACCCATCAATGGGGGGCACAGCCTGCCCTGCAAGGACCCATCCCTGGTCACAGCCTGCCCTGCAGGGACCCATCCCTGGTCACAGCCTGCCCTGCAAGGACCCATCCCTGGTCACAGCCCGCCCTGCAGGGACCCATCAATGGGGGGCACAGCCGCGCACCACCGGGGCCCCAGGCCCATCAGTGGGGGGCACAGCCGCGCACCACCGGGGAGGCCCTGCCAACGCCCTGGGCGGGGTGAGGTGGGGACACTTCGGTGGCTGTGTGGCTTTAGAACCCCACCTCCCAGCATGTCCCCCTTCGTGTCCTGCTGACCATAACCCGGGATGGGAACGGGCGTGTCTGTGGACAGCACCCCTGCTCCTGGCTCTCCCGCGGCTTGGGCCTGGCCCGAGCCCGCCATCGCCTGCAGGCTGCTCCTGGTGCCAGAGGCTCCAAGGGCGAACCTGGGGGAGGGGACCGAATGCGGTGCATTTGTGTCGCCAAAATCTTCTTTGAGTGTGACATTTTTGAAAATTTGCAACAGATTTTGAAAGAAAAGAGATATTTTGCCTATTAGTTGACTTCCCATGTGGCCACAGCTGACCAGGAGCCAGGAGCCTCTTCCGGGTCTCCCACGCGGGTGCAGGGTCCCCAGGCTGTGGGCCGTCCTCCACTGCTTTCCCAGGCCACAGGCAGGGAGCTGGGTGGGAAGTGGGGCTGCGGGCGTCCCAAGCTGTGGCTGGGTGGGCCATGTACCTGGCATCTGAAGCCACGTGAGGCCAGGTGGACCATGCTGCTCCCCAGGCTTGGGGGATCTTTGTAGGGGTTTAAGTGTCAACAAAGGGAATCCAGAAGTCTGCAAAATGGAACTAAATTGGCTGTTTTGAAACCTGTCTGCGTTCCTGAAGACACAGTTGTTGGTAAGGCTCCCAGCCGCTGGCTCGCTCCCTGATGACCATCGTGGCTGGAACTGCACATGACAGCAGCCTGGAGGGATCCAGCTGTGGCCGCAACCCGCAGGGCCCTCAGCTGGAAGCTGGACCTGCCCCCTTCTGGACCTCGGGCTCGCCCCCCGTGGTTTGACCACCCCCGGTGCTGCCCCAGCCCTGTGGACAGGCCCGTGCAGGGGCGCGTGTGTCAGAGAGAGGGGTGGCGGCAGGAATCCCACAGCAGTGCGTCGCGAAAGGCGAGTTTTATTTCACACCTTGGTTCCCTGCCAGCCCGCGAGGTGAGCTGGGTGGCCTTCCAAGGTGGCTGCCGTGCACCCGCAACGCTCTCCCCACCCATGTGTCCGGGGTCCCTGGTCCCATGGTCGGTCGCACGGGATGGGCAGTGCCTGGGGTGGCCTCCTTGCACCTAACTCCTGGCGCTTCAGGGACGCAGCGGCCACTTCCTCCGGGTCCTGCCCTGTGCCGGCCAGGCGGCGCCGAGCGCCAATTGGAGACAGAGTTTGGGTCTTTGCGGCCACGGTACCGTCCTCCTCTGCCCCCCATGGCTGGCACGAGGATGCAGGCGCTTGGTGGCGAGGCTTGAACATGCGCCAAGTCCAGCTGCCACCAAGGCTGTGACAGCTCAGTTATGTAAACCACGAAGAGGCGCTGGGCAGCGCCGGCCGGGCCTGAGCAGGTGCACCTTCTCCAGTGGCGCCCGGAGCCTGTCCAGGTGCCTCCCTCGGGGGCTCAGCCGGGGGCCTGGCCCGGGGAGGCGGGCCGTGGCAGGCAGTAGAGCGGCGGGTCGGAGTACCTGCGCCGGGCCGGTGTGGCCGGCCCTGGCTGCTCCCGCAGCGCCTCCAGGGCTGCCTGCACGGGCAGCTGGGCCCCGGGCGCCACGTACAGCGAGTGCACCAGGTCCGGCCGGCGGGCGGGCGGCTCGCGGCGCCGCACGGTGGCGACCACGCCGGCGGACAGGTGCGAGGCCAGGCCCGGAGGGAGCTTGATGTTGGCGGTGGGCATGACGGGGGTCCGCCGGGGGGTCTTCGCTCGCACCGTGACGAAGGAGGCCGGCCTTCGGCGGGCGGGGGCGGCCGCCGGGGGAAGGGGGCTCGGGGCGGGCACCCCGGGGCGGGGGAGCGCAGGCGCGGGGGGCCCTTTTGAAGAGAGACGCGGGGTTACTGCAGGACCCGGGCCCCGGGAGCAGGACAGGAGCTGGCTCCCCTCAGTACTGACCTTCGGGGGCCCCGCGCCCGGCCCGCTTCTCCAGGAGGCTCTCGGTGCTGGCCGAGGTCTCCGAGTCTGCGTTCTCCTCGTCCGAGCCCCGCGGGTCCAGCTCAGGCAGCCGGTATGTGATGTCCTCCCTGTGGGCGAGACGGGCACGCTGTGCAAGGCCGCCCCGGGGGAGGACCGGCTGGGGCGGGGCGGGAGGCTGTGCCCCCACGGGGACTGCCCAGTCCCGGCCTGGACACCTCGGGGTGCGCCGCAGGGCGGGCCTGGCCCACATGGAGCTGCTGACCGGGGCCTGAGCTCAGGCTGCCCAGCGACCTGGCCCCCGGAGCGCGCTGGCACTCACTTTACTAATCTGTTACTTGGGGCAAGCTCACCCAGATGCTGGGTCACTCCCCAAGTGTCGGCCATGGTCAGACCTGGGCAGGGCCGGCACGCCCTCGGGTCTGCCAGGGGATGTTGGGCAGGGGGCACGGGAAGCCGCGGCGGAAACGGACAGGGAGTAGGTGGGCAGGATGGGCCTGAGCTAACACAGCTGATGTCAGATGCAGGTGAGCTGGGCAGGAGTGACCAGCAGCACCGGTGGGCGGGGCGAGCCCGGGGTGTGGCGGTGTGGGCGGGGCCAGGCGTGGTGGGCGGGGCTGAGCACAAGGGCGTGGCCGTGGTTATGCGTCATGGGCTGAGGCTGTGGACAATGGGTGTGGTCATGCGCCATGGGTGGGTCCCGGGGGCGTGGCTGCAGTGGGCGGGGCCGAGCGGGCACTTGCTTTTCCTCCTTGATGCACTGGATGCGCTCCATCAGCAGCTCCTTCTCGCGGTCCTCGTCGCCGTCCCCGCCCGCCGCCTCCTCTTCAGGCAGGGCCTCCAGCTCCTCCAGGCTGCCGGGCTCCTTGGGGCTCTTGCTCTGCAGAGAGGGCGCAGTGGGCTGAGCGGGCAGGGCCGGAGGCGGCGTGTGCACCCCAGGGGGACGTTAGTGGTGTTAGACTCAGTGGGGACGCAGGGCTGGACGGTCAGGCCATGCGGGGCTCTCGGGGGGCCGAGGGATGGTCAGGCCATGCGGGGCTCTCAGGGGGCCGAGGGACGGTCAGGCCATGTGGGGCCGAGGGACGGTCAGGCCATGCGGGGCTCTCAGGGGGCCAAGGGACGGTCAGGCCATGCGGGGCTCTCGGGGGGGCCGAGGGACAGACAGGCCATGCGGGGCCGAGGGACGGTCAGGCCATGTGGGGCCGAGGGACGGTCAGGCCATGCGGGGCTCTCAGGGGGCCGAGGGACGGTCAGGCCATGCGGGGCTCTCGGGGGGGCCGAGGGACAGACAGGCCATGCGGGGCCGAGGGACGGTCAGGCCATGTGGGGCCGAGGGACGGTCAGGCCATGCGGGGCTCTCGGGGGGGCCGAGGGACAGACAGGCCATGCGGGGCCGAGGGGCAGTCAGGCCATGCAGGGCTCTCCCCTGTGACCTTCTAGGGGCCGGCGGGACGCAGCATGCAGGTTGGTGGACATGCAGCATGGACACCACGCCGGTACATACCAGGACCCCCTCATAGGGAGACGAGAACCCCAGTTTGAGAGGCCATGGCTGGGGGGAGAGACGAACGCAGGGTGACCACGTGCCCCACCCAGGTCACGAGGCTGAGCCCCCAGGGAGCCCAGGACCTGCTCCTGTCCGGCTCCCGGGGGTGGGGTCCAGGTCAGCTAGGGACAAGACGGCCCCGCTGACCCCAGCCGCCCCGTCTGTCCTTCTCGGAGATAGAAGGTGTGCGGTCGGGCCCAGGGCTACGACGGGGGGTCGGGAACCCATGTCTGAGGTTGCCCGGGAGGACGTGGGGGAACCTGATGTTCCCTGCAGGCCACACACCTGCCAGGAAGCACCTGCTCCGGCCGAGCCCCCGCCCACCGCCGGCCACGCCCACACGATGCCCCGCCCACCGCGGCCACGCCCCTCACCGCGTTCTGCCGCAGCAGTGACAGCCTGCGCACGGCGATGCTCTCGGCCGCCTCCAGCTGGCTGATCTCCTCCATCTTCACCTTGTACTTGCGCATCTGCTCCTTGATGAGCATCTCCACGCACCTGCGAAGGGCGGCCAGGCGGTGATGGGGCTGGCCATGGGCAGCCCCCGGGGGCAGCAGCTGGGGAGGGCTGGAGCGTCCCCAGGTGCAGTGATCAGCGTGGGCTGGGACACCGCGGGGTGCCCTGTGAGGGCGCCACTGCCAGGCTGACGCCGCCCCTGGCCCCTTGCCAGCACGCTGGCCCTGTAGGCTGGAGCCCCCTAAGGAACACACACCCCAGAGGAGGCGGGTGCTGCAGCACAGGGCTCCGTGACACCCAGCTGGCCTTGGCAGGAGCCGACTCCTGCTGCAGCAGGCCCGCGGGACGCGGTATGCACCCACGCCACCAGAGGGGCCGCTCCCATCACTGGCCCAGGTACCAGCTGTCCTTTTAACTGAAATCATTCATTCTCACTACTTTGTCACAACCCTAAGTTGTCGCCGACACCACTTCTGCCACACTGGGACCCGCAGTTCCTGAGCCCCACATGGCGGGGTCAGGCCTTGAACACAGCGCACTCCTGCCAGCTCTTTAGCCACCGGGACAAATGCCTACCCCTAGCCTGCTTCCTTTGCTAAGAGACTTCTAGGCAGAAGCTGCTGGCCCCCACTGCGGGCTGCCCGGCCTCTGCCCTGTGAGGGTCTTGGACCCCCAAGGGAAACCCAGAAGGCCCTGTCTGCTCTGGAGAGAGGGGAGGACTTCCTGCAGGGCCTTGTCCCCTCCTAGGTGTGTGTCCCCACAGGGGAAGTGCTCAAACAGACCCACACCCCCCAGTCCCGGCAGGAGCAGACCACAACCAGGGAAGGGAATCCACTGTGCCACTGGTGCAGCCCCCTGGCCTCTCCTGGGCACTCACGTGGTGACCTTCAGCACGTCCTTCATGCTAGTCAGCGGGTCCGAGGTGTCTGGGCAGCGCAGGAGGCAGGGTGCGAAGATGATGGCCAGCGCCCCCGGCGACATGCGGTTCACGTCTTCCAGCAGAGCCACCCTGCGCAGCACCACCAGGGGGCAGGGGTCAGGGGGCAGGGCGCACGGGGAAGGGAGGGAGCCCTGGCCTAGAGAAGGGAGCCCTGGCCCCCGACCCCCAGCTCGCTTCTGGGTGAGAGACCACAGGTGGGGGGAGAGGTGCTGGGGCGAGTGCGGGGCCGTGCGGGGAGGGCCGGACACTCACTTCACCAGGTGGAAGATGAGCCTCTCCAGGGAGTTGTGGTTGGCCTCGGGAAGGTGCTCCAGCAGGGTGTAGATGGCGGCTAGCTGCTCCTGCTGCTGGGGCAGCTCTGGGGACACAGGAGCTTCCTCAGTGCCCCCCACCTGGATGTGGCTGCCCCCTCTGCTGCCCCCTCAGGACCCTCAGTCCCCCAGGCCCCATCCGGCGCTCACCCACGGCGCGAAGGAAGTCGCTGTACTGGGCGAAGGTCATGAGCGGCTCGGGCAGCTCCCGCAGCCACTGCTTCAGCACGCCCGTGATGGCGTGGATGGGGAAGTTGTCCAGGTTCACGGCTGTGGGGTCTGTGGGTGGTGAAGCTGGTGAGTGCCCTCCGTGTCGGGGGAGGCCCAGCCTGGCTCGACCCCGCCCACGGCCCCGCCCGCAGCCCCTGCACCTGTCTGCAATGCCTGGCGCAGCTCCCGCGTGCGGTTGGCAGCGCCCGACTTGCGGTAGAGGCCCTCGGTGTAGAGCCCGTGCATCTCCACGTGCTCCAGGAGCTTCTCCAGCACCACGGGCACCGACACCTTGTCGCTCGTCAGGCTGTCCACGCACACGCCAAAGTGGCCTGGCTCGGCGCCTGGCTCACTCTGTGGGCATGGGGACAGGCAGCTCAGGGCCTGGGTGGGGCTTCCGTCTGCCAGGCATCTTACAGGGAGTGGGGCCGGTATCCTCAGCTCTCCTCCCCTCACCATCAGGACCCACAGGCTCACCTTGCGCCCGCCCTCCCCCAGCCCTCTTCTCCTGGGCCATCTGGAATGTTCCGGGGCCCCAGGGGCTCACCTTGCGCCCGCTCGTGTAGGAACAGTAGCTCTGAACCTTGTGCACACACTTCTTGTGACAGGTCATCTTGCACACTAGGAGGTCACAGGGCAGGGCTCTCAGAGTGCGCCCCTCCTGAAAGGCTCCCCTGGGGTGCGGGAGGGCTGGGCTGGGCACTCACCACTGCACAGCAGGGCCTTGTCCATGAGCCAGATGTAGGAGAGGCACTGCTCGCAGGACTGCGGGATGCTCACCTGGTAGCTGGCGAACACGTGCCCATTGTGCTCCTGCACCTGTGGGGCCGGGGGAGGGCGGGGGGCTGAGCCGGGGTCACGGGCCCCCAAGCTCACACACACACAGATATGCAGGGGTTAGGACGGGGCTGAGCCGGGGTCACAGGCCCCCAAGCTCACACACACTCAGATATGCAGGGGTTAGGAGGGGACGGGGCTGAGCCGGGGTCACGGGCCCCCAAGCTCACACGCCCCCAAGCTCACACACACACAGATATGCAGGGGGCGGGTCAGGGGTTAGGAGGGGACGGGGCTGAGCCGGGGTCACAGGCCCCCAAGCTCACACACACACAGATATGCAGGGGTTAGGACGGGGCTGAGTGGGGGTCACGGGCCCCCCACGCCCTCAGACACCTGCTTGTTCCTACTCACAGCACGCTCCTGTTTTCGCTTCTTCTTCTGCGCTTTGCTCTGCTGTGGGGAAGGCAGAGGACTTCAGCGCCAAGCTGGAGCTCCCTGGGGACCTGCACGCCCCTCCTTCCCCGGGAATGGGCCACCCAGCCCTCCAAGGGCCCTTGGCCTGTCCCAGTGAGTACCCTAAAAATTAATATTCTCAGCCAGGAGGGGTGGGCGTGACACTCAAGGCAGCCAGGGGCGTGGCCTGGTGGGGTGGGCAAGGGTGGCGCTGCCCACCTTGGCGGGCTCCAGGTCGTTCTTGGTGGTGTAGCCGCGCGTGAACTCGTCCAGCAGCGACTGGAAGAGGTTGAGGACCAGGTTGGTGTCCGTGTGGCCCCGCTCGGCGGCCAGGTTGCCCACGACGATCTGATAGTTCTCCATCAGGTCCTTGTAGCCCACGTGTATCTTCCCGTTCTAGGGCAACAGCGGGGCCCGTGATTCCCCACAGGCAGGGACGGGGCAGAGCAGGCACACAGCTCGGGGGCACGGTCCCGGGGCGGGGGCTGCACATACGGGGACGGAGTACATGGTCTTAATGTTGCTCCGGAACTTCTCGGTGGCTTCGATAAACAAGCTCTCAATGGGAGTCTTCTGGGAACGCAGATCATTTATCTGGAAGGAGAGAGGCTAGGTGAGCCCACGCACGGCTTGGCAGGGCGGCCAGCTCCTGGGGGACATTGGGGTGCCTCGGCTCACCTGCTCTCTCACACCCTGGGCCCTGGCAGTCAAAGACTCCACAGCACGCCTGACCCCGGGGGCAGTGCACTACGTAGCTCCTTGGCCCTTGGCCCCCGGCCCCAGTCCTGGCCACCCCAATGCCCCAGAACTGGCCAATGTCCCCGAGGAAGAAAGTGCAAGCTTTGACAGCTTGTGGGAAAGGACATTAAAACGCATGTAGAATCACACGCACATATATACGGCTAACAGGAGGGAGAGATAAACTCCAAATGCCCACGTCAGTCAGGGCTGGGCCTGACTGAAGTCCCAAGCCTGGAACCCCTTCTGGCTCTCCCACGCGGGTGCAGGGTCCCCAGGCTGTGGGCCGTCCTCCACTGCTTTCCCAGGCCACAGGCAGGGAGCTGGATGGGAAGTGGGGCAGCCGGGACTCGAACTGGGCCCCTATGGGATGCTGGCACTGCAGGCAGCAGCTTTACTTGCTGTGCCAAAATGCCAACACCCCCTCCCCGCTGGAGCTGCAGGCTCTGGCCACAGCCTGGCCCATTTGGGGTGTCAACCAGCAGACGGGAAACGCCATTCCATCCTTTGGCGAAGAGAGGAATCCCTAAGGAGCCATTTGTCTTCTGGCAACTGTAGGGCACCTGTTGGCTGCAGCAGCCAGGGCACTGTGCAGGGGCACCACAACCTGTCCTCCCAGCTCCCTGGAATCCAGACCTCACAGCTGAAGGAAGTGGGAAGCAGGGGCTCTGCACCCCCACCCTCCCCGGCCCAGTCCCCGCCCCCAGGAGGCCGCACCTTGTTGAGCAGGAACTCGTCCAGGTACTTGAGTTCGTTGGCATTGGTGATCTTGCGGAACACTGACTCGCGCCACTTCTCGGACACGGTGATTTTGCCCACCTTGAGGTTCCGGTTCTTCTTCCCTTTACCCCCAGGCTCCTTGGCGTGCTGGCGGTGCTGCTGGCCCGAGGGGGCTGTGCAGGGACAGGCCAGCTGGGGTGTGCGATTCGGGGACAGGTCTACCCTGGGGTTGGCCACCCCCCACCCTGGTCCTGGAGACCCTGCTCTGCTGGCTGGAGGGGCTGTGCAGGACATGGGGCAGCTGGGGTACACGTCCCCAGGGCCAGGTCAGTCCCTTCATGGCTGTGCCCTGGGGTCAGCCACCCCACATCCTCCACGCTGCACCCTGGGGTTGGCCCCACCCTGGCCTGAGGCCCTGCTCTGGCAGACCCACCTTCTAGGCTCTTCTTGGTGGAGGTGGCATCTGGTGGGCTGAGCCCGGGCACCGTGGGCTCTGCCGCCTCCTCCATGCCCTCCAGGCTGTACTTCTTATCCTTGGTTTTATGCAGGAAGAGTCGCTTAAACGTGGATCTGTGCGAGGCGGGGAGGAGGAAAGGAAAGAGGTCCCTTGGGGCTTTGCAGAGACAAGGGACTGCGGAGGGCCACGGGGCCCGCGCTGTAGAGCAGGGACCAGCTTACGGCCTTCCTGAGAAGGGATGGCAGGGACAGTGTGGCGCGGGGGGGCGGTGCCTTGGGCTGCTGCCCGCAACGCTGGCATCCTAGGGCACAGTCCCGCTCCCGGCTGTGGCGCCTGCACTGGATGGCCCAGCAGAAGACCTGGGCGGCCTGCCCCACCCTGGCTGTCGTAGCCACTTGTGAGTAAGCCAATGGAAGGAAGATCTCTCTTTGCTAGCACATACAAGAATCTGGTCTGGGAACACCTCAGACAAAGTTTCTTTAGGGATCTCCCCAATCGAACTGCCGGACTCAGAACCCTAACCATGAAAAGACAGAGGACAGAACAAGTCAATCAACCACCTCAGCCATATGTTGGCAGTGAAAAACTGGGCAAATGGAGACTCTATGATGGACTATGTCAATCAGTGGATTCTTCAACGACCTCATAGTGCTTGGAGTGGCAAGACTGGCAGTAACTCAGAACTGTTGAACTATCAAAACCACTTGAGCAGGACCCTCGGAGCATG